CTAGGAAAAGGAAAAGTATTTGAGTTTGGAGTTTTGATTGAGATCTATGGAGGCTGTATTTATGATTTTAAATGATGTGGGACCAGCCTGAATTCTCATCGGGGCCAAGGGATACTCGTTCCCACTGAATGTAAAGGGCTAGTGGAAGATTGTGATTACATTATCATGAGTCATGCTTGTTCCACATACTAGTTACATATGTTTACCTAATTTAAATCGATCTGACTTAAATTAAAAATGAAAAAAAATTGACTCTTTCTTTAGTTTCAGAAAACGAATTTGTTTGCTTTACAAGAAAATACCATTATGTTCAATATAACAGGAAGCTTAGGAAAACCTTGTGTGCTTAAAATTCAGGTCTCCACAAATTACAAAATAAAGCATCTGGCCACCTGTATAAAATGTATCCTTTATGCACAGACACCTCCCATACCCCACCAGGGCCCTTCCCCACAAAATCTCCCCAGGAATCTGAAGACTTTTGAAAGTTCATTTCTACTTTGGCAACTAATTATTTGTTAAAGGTTCAAATCCTGAAAAATTATAAGCTACTAAACTTCAGCCTCTGCAGTTTGGAATTTATCCATCCTTTCTAAATGCATCCCTATTTTAGGTTTTGTTCTATTTTAAATTCTGAAAGGTGAGCTTGTGTTGTGACTAGCTTCAATGAATCCAATCATACAAAATTAGTGGTAATTAGATGAGATAGTTTTAAACAACTTTTGAAACCCTAGTACAGTCAAGCCAGAACTTACTTATATAAGAACATTTGTTTTTGTTTTCTAAATGGCTAGTGGATGGAAGGGATGGATACAGGGAAGCAGTAGAAAGGGAAAGAAAAAAAATTTAGTATCAGCAGAACTCTCTTTTACTTGGAGAAAGAAGGAAAGTGTTGTATCATTAACATGGAAACTGGAAATATATTTGGTAATGGAATGAACCTAATTACTGCCTAGAAATGAGTGCTTTTTCTAATAAGAGGAAAGAACAAACTTACATAAAAATTCACACAAAGCTTAACAGAAACAAAAAAAAAAGGTGGAGGGGGATATGGAGACCAAAAGGGAAAACTGGGGAAGGAAAAAATGGTGAAATTTTTTTCTCCCATCCATTTCCCTACTCTCTTCCCAAGCACAAGACAAATATTGCAAGTCCCTTTCTCAAAAAACTGACAGGATGCATTTTAAATGTCATCTTATAGCACTCACAACGACCCAGAGAAGAACATGGTATACTAAAAATAGTCAGGTCTAAAATTGGGCTCATTCATTTATTTATATTCTGTTAATATTATTGAGTGCCTGCTATACACTAGGCATTGTTCTTAATGCCTGGGATATATAAGAGAACAAAATAGACAAAGATTCCCACCCTTGTGAGATACATTTGGTTTTACGGGAGAGACATGGAATAAACAATGAAACAAAAAATTAAGTTATGTAGACTGATTAGAAGATGATCAAGTGTTAGGCAACAAAGGAAAAGGTAGAGCAGAAGAGTGAGGGTGGGGATGCCCAGGGAGTTGAAAGTGGTCACTGAGAAGGTAATATGCCAGCAAAGACCCAAAGGGGTAAAGTGAGTAACTAGGAGGGAGATAAGGACATTGTTTCTGGTGCAAAGACCCTGAGATGGGAGAAGCCTGTTGTGTTTGAGGAACATCATGGACACCAATGTGACTGCAGAGAGTGAAGAAGGAAGAGTAGAGAAGAGTTTAGAGGGATTACAGAGACATTTGGCAGCCCTCTGAATTTTGAACAAAGCAGTGACATGACTTACATTTCAAAAGGATCCCTCTGTCTTGGAATTAAAGTGAATTATAAAGGGGCACATGTAGGAGCAAGGAAATGCAAGGAAATAATTGTAGCAATCTAGCTGAGAGATAAGATGGCTCAGATGAAGGTGCAAGCTATGGAAGTGTAGAGTTTGAATAAATACTGAATGTAGAGCCAGAAGAGCTCCTGATGGGTTGGATGTGGGTGTAACAGAAAGAGGGGAGTGGGGAATGACTCCAAGGTGTTAGGCCTGAGTCACCAGAAGGATGGAAGCTACCAGAAGCTGCCATTAACTAATATGGTGAATACTATAGGTGGAGCTGGTTTGTGGGGGAAGACCAGAGGGCTTGAATTTGAGATGTTCATTAGACATCCAAGTAGAAATGTTGAGTGTGCAGTTGGACACTGAATCTGAAACTCAGGAGACAGGCCTGGGATGGAGATGTAAATGAGGGAGTTGTCTGCATGTTAAAGATATTTAAAGCATTGAAAATTGGTAAATCACACAGGGAATAAAAACAGAAAAGGCAGGAAAAGGATATAGAAAGAAAGGACCAAGGACTGAGCCCTGGAGCTCTCCAATATTCAAGGCTGGGAGGAGGGAAAAAGAACAGTTTAAAAAAAAAAAAAAACATATCAAGGAGGAAGATGTGATTGACTGTATCAGTGCTACTGATGGGTCAAGACGGATGAGGACTGGGAATTGTCCATCAGTGTTAATGGTGAGAAGACAATCAGTAACCTTGACAAAAGCAGCTTTGGTGAAATAGGGAGTGGGTGAGTGAAAGCCACCCAATCTTTGAGTCCCAGTTTCCTCATTTGGAAAACAGGGAAACCTCTTGGTTTAAGATCACACAGTAAAATATTTCTGCCTCTTTCTCTTAAAAAAAAAAAAATCACCCAATAAATAACATACAGGGCAAGCAACAGAAATAGAAACTTCCTTTCTGATAAAAGTAGAAGACAACTGGAAAGCCAGACCCTTATATATGAAAGTGGAAAAAAGGATGGAAGAATTGTAAACAACTTAGCAGAACTGAGGGAAGATTTATTGGAAGTGCCCACAGGTGAGAAGCAAATCAATCTCCACTGTGCAATCTCAGAATGGTTAGAGCATTAGATGCACCAGCATCACAGAGGATGGGGGTGGGGTGGGAACTGTAAACAAGGTAGTTGTTTAAAAGAACAACAGAGCTATGAACGTTCTATGTCCCCAGGTCTGTAGGCAATGAAGGAAAGCAAAAGGTACATAAACTGGTTGAGGGGCTGTAGTCCAAGAGATACTGGACACAAAGGAAGGTGGGGCTACACTGGAAAAAAAAAAGATTATGGAGTGAGACCCCATACCTCTCCTCTCACTTACTTCTGGGTCACTACAGCAAGGTTACACTTTCCCCAGGTAGAATATAAGAGAATATTTCTCTGGAGAATATTTTTTCAAGGAAAAAATCTTAACAGATATGGACATTGTTGTGGGAGAAAACCCCAGTGGGAAAAAGTGGCAAGTCCACTCATTGTTCCCACAGGGACTCGCACTAGTTGACAAGTGCCAACTGAACACAATTTTAGTGCTTTATTTGTAACCATGAACAGACACCCAAGAATCACCTGACATTCAAAGAGAGCCCCTAATATGAATTTTTTTTATTTTTATTTTTTTTTTGTGGGGGGTGGGAGGGATGGGGTGGCTGGGTGATAGACATTGGGGAGGGTATGTGCTATGGTGAGCGCTGTGAATTGTACAAGACTGTTGAATCACAGATCTGTACCTCTGAAACAAATAATGTTAAGAAAAAAAGAAGATAGCAGGAGAGGAAGAATGAAGGGAGAAATCAGAGGGGGAGATGAACCATGAGACGATGGACTCTGAAAAACAAAATACGATTTTTTTTTAAAAAAAAGCTCAAGTAAATAGAAGAAAGTAATGCAAAAGAGAGTAATGCAAAGATACAGAAAATTCCAAAGGAACTATAGTTAACATACTTGGTAAGAAAAGATACTGCATCACTGGAAGAAGAACAGAATGAAAGATCAACAACAACACAGAATTAGAATTTAAAAAATGTAGAGATTGGAAAATATAATGGCTAAAAAACTTTAACATTTTAAAAGTCAATAAAGATGTTGGATATTAAAGTTGAGGAAATATTCCAGAAAGAAGGGGGCAGGGAATGGACGATACAAGTGAAAAAATAACAAAATTCAGGTTTTGTCCTGGAAGTCCAACATCTATTCAACTTGAGGGAACAGATAAAATGGAGAAGAGGTAATACGGGAAAATTTCCGGATTTGAAGAACACGAGACTCCAGATTGAAAGTGCCCACCAAGTACCCAGGACAATGAATGAATAAAGTCCCACACAAAGGAAAATCATAATGAAATTTCACAACTGAAAAGATAAAGGAAAACATCCTAAAATGTTCCAGAGACTTGGGGCACCGGGTGGCTCAGTAGGTTAGGTGTCTGCCTTTGGCACAGGTCATGATCCCAGAGTCCTGGGATTGAGTCCCACATCAGGCTCCCTGCTCGGTGGGGAGCCTGCTTCTCCCTCTCCCTCTGCCTGACATTCCTCCCCCTGTTTGTGTTCTCTCTCTCAAATATATAAATGAAATCTTAAAAAATAAATAAAATATTCCAGAGGCTTGATAGAGTACACATATGAAGGATTGAGAATAAGGATTGCCTCGGAGTTTTCAACAGCAAAATTGAGAACTAGAAGGCCAGGGAGCCAGCCTTCAAAATTCGAGGCCAAAAGATGGTGGGCAAATCTCCCAACCAAGGTGGAGGAAATAAGAACCTTTTGACGTTCCTATCTCCCAAACACAACGCCTCAAAAGCTACTGGGAAATATGCTCCACCAAACGGAGAGAATAAAGCCACAAAGAGGAAGCTGCGGGATCCAACTCCAATTAGAGGAAGAAGGGAATTTCCAGGGTGAAGGGGAAGGGAAGCGCCAGCCCAACAGCTGGACAGCGGCACAGAGCGTGCGCAGTGTGGGCTGCAGCCCGAGGATGGCAGCCTCCAGGTGGGGCGCTGCCAGGAAAAAGATAAACGGAACTGAGTTTCTCACCAGCTTGACCATGTGGAAAGAGACAGTTGCACAACGTATGGGAAGATTGAGTAAAGCTCCAAATAAAACTGTTAATGAAGAAGCTGTCAACTGAAGAAGAAAGGAGAAGTTATAGAAGGAAGGCAAGATGATCACTGTAAACTATTTTGCTCCGCAGTGGTCACTAAATAGGGAGTCATTAATATGAAGACACGGAATAGGAACTTAACCCTAAACTGAGTTGTGAACAGACTGGGAAGATGGTGAAGATAGAAGGCTGTATGAGCGGGAGCTAAAACCCTGACCTCCAAGGGAGGTCAACAGATAGTGTCTAAAAAGGCTGGATCAAGGGCGCAATGCAGAAATATTATTGAGAAACGTAGAGAGTAATACTAGAATAAGCAACATATATTGGAAGTGGTTACCTCTGTGGTGTATAGAGGCAAAGAGTTGAAGGTCTGCTGCTTTTGGTTATAAGCCTTTAGGCATTGGCTCTTTAAGTGATGCACATGTGTTACTTTGAGAAAACTGAGGATTCAGTCAATACCTGCACACATACACACACAAATGAGATAAAAATGCTAGTGGTATTGAGTTGTCAGTATTACCTATGATCTCGTGGCTGTCGAAGTCCAGGCACAGTCCTTGGGGTTTAGAAATAATCACATTTTCCTAGCCCAGAGTCCAGGATCAGAAGCCAACCCATCTCTCACTGCATCCCTCCAGAAACATGCCAGCACCAGAGACCGATCCGCCACTTCTAAACAAGCTGTGCCGAGCCGGACTCCTTCCCGTGGAGTCCTCTAAGGCAGGGCGTGCTATATGATCCACGGCAGGATGAGAAGAAAACATAATTTCCACTGCTCTTATATTTTATGATTTTTCAAGTTTCTATTTATTGTATATATTTTTTCTATTTTAAACTATCCACTGATACAATTTCAAACATAAAAAGAAGTAAAAATAGAGGAGCCTGGGTGGCTCAGTCAGGCATCTGCCTTCAGTTCAGGTAGTGATCCCAGGACCCTAGGATCCAGCCCCCAGCCGAGCTCCCTGCTCAGGGGGAGTCGTCTTCTCCCTCTCCCTCTCCCCCTCCCCCCCCCCCGACTCATGCTCTCTCTCTCTCTCTCAAATAAATAGATAAAATTTTTGTAAAAGTTGTAAAAAATTAAAAAGTAGTAAAAATAGTACAAAAATTCATATAAAACCCTCACCCATATTCCCTCAAGTGTTAACATCTTACATAACCATTGTACTATTATTAAAATCTAGAAATTAACATTGACACAATAATGTATAATCTATAGATTGTATTCGTATTTCTCTGATTGTCTCACTGATAGTCCCTTCTACTCCATATCTACTTTAAGATCACACACTGCAGCTCATCTTCATGTGTCTTTGGTCTCCTTTAAGCTGGATCAGTTCCTTGGCCTTTCTTTGTCTTTCATAATTTTGACATTTTAAAGTATTAGCCAGTTCTTTTGTAGAATGTCCCTCAATTGATGCTCTTCAGATTATTTGCCAGTGGTTAAATTCATGTTAGGCATTTGGGTCAAGAATACCACAGAAATGATGTTGTGTCCTCTTCGGTGCTTCCTAGTGGGGGGGAAGGGTGTATAATGTTTATTTTTCCTGTTACTAATAATGTTAACTTTGGTTACTTGGTTAAGGTGATGTCTACTAGGTTTCTCCTCTGTAAAGTTACTTTTTTTCCTTTAGTATGTCCTGTATTATATGGCATTAAGTATATATGGTATATACCCAATGAGTATGTTTGAGGGAAAATATTTAGAAACTGTTTTTCATCACACTTTTGCCTACTTAATTTTAGTATTCCACAATGATTCTCACCTGAAACAAGTACTATGGTGTTTGCCAAATGGTGATTTTCTATATTTATCATACCTACTACAGTTTTTGGTTGGCATTCTGCTGTAAGGAAGAGCTTTCCCTCCTCCCCTTATATTTCTTTATTCAATTAATTTATTCAATTATTTACATCAATATGATCTCATAGATTCTGATTTTATTTTATGATTTATAAATCATTACTATCATTATTTATTTTGTTACCACAACTATCCCCAACATGTCCATTCTGACTATCTTTGACATGTCTTCTGTGTTCTCACGGCATGTCTCCATCTTTTTTTTTTTTTCTCTTTTTTTGGAGGACTTTTTTGCTTTCCCAGCACAAGATGTTCCAAGCTCACCTGTGCTTTCCCCAGCCCTGTAATCAGCCATTTCTCCCAAGGAGCCCTGGTCCTTTAATGGAGCGCAGCATTTTGAGCCAGGATCTGGATGCCATTACACATTTTTTTTTATAACATACTAGCTTTGTGGTACAGGTACTTATTTTAACCAATATACTTTTTTTTTTTTTTAACTGATTGGGAAGCAAAACATTTTTGAAATCACTGCTTTTAGCCTCAAGAAGCACTGCTCATTGTTTCCTTAGCCTGAAATGTTCCCAAGGAAGACATCTTGATCCCCTGAGTTGGAATTACCCACCCCTCCTTTTTCACGTGTACAGCTTGATACTTCCTCTATTTTGCACTTACCTTTTCCTGCCTTATGTCGGAGATGGTAGTTCATGAGTGAAGAACAACCCCGGGAACTCATGGTCTCTTTCTTCATCGTTCTCTATCCTGTCAGCTTCTTATATTGAAAGAGGTTCATGTGTAAAAGTTGCCAGGCAATGAAGGCCAAGTAGGGAAGAGAAATGGTCCATGTTGCTGTGTCACAGAGAAACACCCTGCGTTCACACATATACAATGGGCAGGTCCCCAGAGGAAGTGAGTGATCCCGGGGAACAAAATGGCTCCTGTCGGCTCCCAAAAGAGTTCTGCAGTTAGCATCTCATCCCTTTAGTGTAACCTGTCATACTCTATCAGGACTTCCTGGTCCACTCGGCTAGCACAAGTCTGCCAATTTCTAAAATGCTGAAATGTTCTCTGTGTTGAAGAGCAGACTAGAACCAGAGTGCTTGCTTTCACTTACTAGCTGGGTATCCTTGAGCAATTTACTCACCTTCCTTGTGGCCCAGTTTTCTCATGTGCAAAATAAGAATAACAACCATAGACCTTTTCTGTGAGATTGTTTTGGTGATTAAGTGAGTTTATATATATATATATAGTGTTTAGAACAAGGCCAGGTGTATTAAAAGTGCTAAATTGCTGTTAATGGTTATTCTTAATACTTCAGAAGACAAAGGCCCTTATATTTATGTCAGGGAGCCTCACAAAATGTGGCATGGAAATATACAAAAGTTCACGGCAAAAAGGATTAGGTCAAACTAGGGTTTTGTGTCTAATTAAAGACCAGACCCCGAGAGGGACAATTCATTACACCTTTTCAGTCACTGTCCCCATTCTTGCTGCTCTTTGCCTTACAACTAGGCATGCCTTTCCCCTGAAGCACAAGGAAGTGTGCTCTGTGTGGAAAAGGTGGATATTGGCGGGGGGGGGGGGGGGGGGGCGGGGGGGGGTCGGTGTGATTAGAGCTGGACAAGCCACAGAGTAAACATGAAACATTTTCCTTCTGTGTCAGTTTTACTCAAAGATGCATAAAGAAAAATGTTACTATTGCTTTAAAGCAAATGCTTTATTGAGGTGTGGGACAGCCATTTGCATAAATTTTCATGCTAAAGCCAAATCTGTCTAAATAACATTTGCTTTTGTAGCCACTTTAGTGGCTCATGTGGTAGAAACGTTTAAGAAGCATTGTCTTTCCATGAAAAACCTTGGTAAATCCTTTCTTAGCAGAAGATTCTAATAAAGAAAATAAGGGGAAACTGCCATCTTTGGGTGGGGAATGGGGAAGAAGGTGAAAAATGGGAAGGAAAAGTCCCAAAGAAAGAGATTAAGGGCTCCAGATACAAGCAGACAACATGTGGGACAGTGAAATAGGTACAAGGAAAAGAATGGGAGCATCCCAGGGCAGACCCAGGGGGAAAGACTAGCCTCCTTCTAAAGGGTTCTAGTAGTGAAAGTGGCACAGCCACCACTGGGCCTGCCTTATATTTTAACATACAGAGCCACAGGTGCCTCATTTCAAACATGAACAGAGTTAGTATTCCTTCTTTACCAGGTAGTTCACTGTTGAAAAGCTGAGAAAACCATTCCACTCCACCATATCAAGTTTAAAAGTTGCCTTTTAGTTAGTTGCCTTTGGTTAGTTACCAGGTACCTGACAAATATAGATAAGCTCTGCAGAGCCAACATGGATGTGGGGCTGCCAGTGAGCTGCATCTGCTGTTGGAATAGCAGGTTTAATATCACTAAGATTAAGATAGCATCTTCTTTCAGCTGTCTCCCATGGCAGAACCAGGAAATAAGGCCAGCTCTACATTTTTAAAGAAGCAATAAAAATTGCTTCCTGTTACAGCAAAAAAAACTGGATTTGCCAGTAGAAAATCTCATTAGGATAAATATTTTTTTTACTCTTATCAATCCCCTGCCAAGTTGCTTGCTTTAGTCTTATATCCACAAGATAGAATTCCTTTAAAAATAAAGTTAAAAGCCTGTCCCAAGAAGCTGATACACAGACAGGCAGTTGTATAAATAAAAAGCTCCAGACAGGATAATAGAATAAGAAGCTACATGTCAGGATTCCACATCTGTCTGTCTGGCCAGTGAGGATGACATTCCACAATTGAAAAGATCAGAAATTCAAGGCTTGAGTCAGATATCTGCAATGCAATGGCAGATGCTCCCTGGTATAAAAATAACTATTCCACTAATAATAAATATAGAAATTTTAGGCGCCATGTAGGATGGGTAGAGTTTAGTTACATTTACTTTTTAGTATCTCAATGAACATTTGGAAAACTATTCCTTAGTGTTTTGATAATACATTTGCTTTCAACATGCCTAAAGGCTTATTTCCTCGGTTGATACAGTTCTTAACCCTCTATGCACTTCAAATAGCAAAACCAAAAGGACAGACATGAAATACATAAATATGGAGGAGGACAAAGGGAAGGAGATATTTCACTTTGTTTTGTTTGAGTATGAGGATCAGTGGGTGAAAGTGGCTCTGGAGAAAAAGTGCAAACCTGGCTTCACCAAGTTTTTCATCATTTTCTCAATTTCTTCAACTATAAAATAGAAATGTAGTAATACCGCCTCATAGGGCTGCAGGAGAACTTAAATGCAGTAATGCTGGTAACGCACCCAGGACAGAGCCCAGTGCACAGTAAGTACTCAGTAGTTAGCTTTCTTCCTGTCCCTCTGTTGATGTGCCCAACCAGACCCGGTCTGAGCACAGTGGAAATCGTGGGTTGTCTGCTGAGCAGTCATCTCCCTCTTCTCAGATACCCAGGTTTTCATGTGGGCCATGACCCTGCCCCCACACCACCAAGTGACCCATAGGAAAGTCACTTCCTCTCCCCTTGCTGGTCCTCACTTCCAATGTGGGCTCTGGGTCATGTTAAACCAATCAGTCCCTTTTTTACCCTTGCCTAGAATCACTGGTTCATGTGACTAAAGCAGCCTAATCAGTGTCTCGGGAGTCAGAACACTGAGGCCAAAGGGTCCTGGTGAGCATGGACAAGGAAGCACATTGCCATAGATGCACCTTAATGCCACAGAGGAAGCCAGCATGGGGAGGGCAGAGTTAGAAAAAAGTTGGTCCGCAGTGACTTGCTGGAACAATCAATTCTGACGATATATGACCTCTACACTTCCAGTGACTAGAGCCGATAAATCTCTTTTACAATTTAAGAACTTTCCATTGAGTTTTTAATAACTTCATTAAAAAAAAACAAAAACCTAACTGATAGACCAAGAAGCTATTTACATCCTCATTTCTCAGTAAGAAAAACTGCAACCTAAAGCTCAAAAGGATTACAAATACAAAGATAGTCATTCTTTAGATCTTTTATATATTATGGTTAAATGAGGGGTCTCTATAACATCTGTCTTATCTTTCTATGTGTTGCTGATTAGGTTTTACTGTCATACACCAGAATTACCTTCTACCATAATTATTCCTGATATATAAGAAAGGTTTCGCTTAACTATTTAAAATTAGAATAAGTTGGTTCTAGCAAATAAATCTACATGGCAGGTTAATTTCCTTATTCTGCATACATTTTTTAAATCATTCATCCTGCTATATTCACTGGGGGAAAAACACAGTTATTCAAAATCAGGTATGTCATAGGTATGTCATCTATGACAGTGATGAAAAGCTGGTAACACTTGCTTTGAGAATTTTCTAAGCCAAAATTATCTTGGCCTTTGCTATAAACTAAGGTTGTGTCACCCTAAAAGTCATATGTTGAAACCAAATCCCTAGTGTGATGGTGTTAGGAGGTAGGGCCTTTGGGAGGTAATTAGGTCATGAGGGTGAAGTCCTCATGAATGGGATTAGTGCCCTGATAAAGAGACCCTAGCAATCTCCCTCACACCTGTGAGGGCACAGCAAAAAGATGTCTGTCTACAGACCAGGAAGTGAGATCTCAGCAGACACTGAATCTGCCAGAGCCTTGATCCTGTCCTTCCCAGTCTCAGACTGTGAGAAATGAATGTTGTTTAAGCCCCCTATGGTATGTTTGTTATATGTTTATGGTATTTCTGTTATAACAACCTGAACAGAATAAGACAGCCATGTTCTATGATAAAATTGGTGGGGCTTAATTGACAAGAGCAAAACTTTAAAAGTTTTGGCAGAAGGAAGAAAATCTTTTTTCTAATTTAAATGTCTTCATTGGTATCAGAGAGATATCCCATATTGGGAGAAGACCCATGTTCAAACTATAAAAACTCCTTTTTTAAGGCTGACTAGTAACATTGTTAAAGGAAACCCCAGGATGCTACCTTACAGGACCAGTTTCCTACAATAATCCACTGATGGTGTAACTTTTAGTTTCACAGATGAAGATAAATAAGTCAGGTATCTAGAAAATTTGCACAACCCTGAAATTTCAGTTTACTTAGATTTATTTAAGTCTGTTTATTTGTTGCCTTGCTCCAAACAAAATTTAAGGCAATGGGTTTATCTATTCTCATTTTTAATATTTTTAAGTGAATCAGAATTCATTCCACTGTTCACAAATCCTACAGAATTTGACATACATAAGAACAATCATGGGGGGCGCCTGGGTGGCTCAGTTGGTTGGGCGACTGCCTTCGGCTCAGGTCATGATCCTGGAGTCCCTGGATCGAGTCCCGCGTCGGGCTCCCTGCTCGGCAGGGAGTCTGCTTCTCCCTCTGACCCTTCCCCCTCTCATGTCTCTCTGTCTCATTCTCTCTCTCAAATAAATAAATAAAATCTTAAAAAAAAAAAAAAAAAAAAAAAAAGAACAATCATGGGGCACCTGGGTGGCTCAGTCAGTTAGGCGTCCAGCTCCTGATTTTGGCTGAGGTCATGATCTCAGGTTGTCGGATTGGGCCCCGAATTGGGCTCTTCACTCAGTGAGGAGTCTGCTTGAGATTCTCTCTCCCTCTCCTGCCCTCCCCCAGTAAATAAAATTTTAAAAAAATAAAATAATAAAAAATTAAAAAACCTTTCAAAAGAAGAACAGCATTATACTCTATACTCATCATAGATGCTGCCTTTTTCATCAGGACAGAGATCATCTCTTTACTACCATATAGTATTAACCAAATATAGATATTACAAGCTGATAGTTTGGAATCACCTAGTTTCAGTAGGAAATAGTGGGACCACATTTAGATTCTATTTAAGGAAGAGGTGTGATTTTATGATCTATATTCTACATAATTATTTCTTGGAGAGTATCAGCAGGCAATAGTGGAAAGATTGGAGGTGGTGGTAAAAGACAGTTACAGGGAAATAATGAGGAGAGAGCTCTACTGAAAGATAAGAAAGCTATGTCATTGCCTTAAGCAAGTCACTTGGCCATTCTTACCAAGGTGTAAAATGAACAGTTGCTCTTTTGCTAGGGTTAAAGAGCATATGTCTGGTGGTGGAAGAAATAAAATTAAAAGTATACAGCATCACATAGCCTCCCCGCTCTGTAGGGAGGAGCTGATAAGGAATGAGCAGAGTCCCCAGAACAGCAGTGTCTGTCTGTTCAGGAAAAGTCACAGGAATTTCAGTCTCTTACTTCGGGGAGCTGCTCTTATTTGCACGTTCTGCAAATGGGATTTTTTGGTTCTGGAGTTTTATTCAGTTTGCGATGAGGTGAAAGGTAGAGGGGGAGGGAGGCATCACAGAGGGAGGTAGGGAAATGCCACAGAACTCAAACCCAATTAAATTATCTCTCAACCTCCACCTCCACCCATTTATTCTTTCAAGGTGAGGGTGAAGCTAAAGATGGCCAAACCTTTTTCCCAGTCCTACAGAGGTGGTCCAATAACTTACTTTGGAACTTAGGGGTACTTACTACTGTTTTTGTTTAGGGCCTTCGGACTTCAGGTCAAAGAGAAACTGAAAGTGTTCCCTTTCAAAAACGTATTCCACATTTCAGGATCAGGTTCAGAAATCACATCTGGGCAATCTCAGAGGCTCAGTTCAAAGTGACTAGGGTCCAGAATATACAGTGCATGGCAAAGCACAGAGTTTGTGGACCAAAGCAGAGAGGTTGAGCTGTAGGGTGAAGACAATGCACTGTCCTTGGAGACCTACAGCTCCATTCTGGGGTCAGAGTTTTGAACAAGGTTTCATTTGAAAGGTTTTACTGACTTGGCTCATTCCACGTATTGCTTCCTAGTCTCTTGAATCTAGTCTGTTCTGATCATTTTGGCCTATGTCCTAATCCAGAAAGCTTATTCTTTGTAAACTATCTTGTGAAGACCACTTTTTCTCTGAGCTTCAACAGGTCAGATGCAGACACAATCCTTTTTTGGGCTCTTTTTTTCAAAGAGTCATCAAATTTGAAGTCTTTCTTCAAGGAAGCAAAAAGATAGCTTACATTTCCCAAGTCATTCATATACATCATCAACTATAGTCATCATGTATTAAATGCAGACGGATGGATATAACCACACACAAGTCATTTCATGTTCACAAATGCACAGTGGGACTAAGTAAATGCCCTGTTATTTTTCTGTCCCCAAGCCATTTTCTCCCACAGTGCACAATATACAAAGTCTTCTAGAACTTCAAAGCCAGAGGTGGCCTTATAGGCTATCTGCTGAGAACTTGCCCAAGTGACGCCGAGCCTCAGCTTCTTCACCCGTGAAATGGGGGGTAAAATATTATCCACCAAAACCGTTTTTAGAAAGATTACCTATATGCTCAATTAATATCAATCTGCTCACTCATGTTGAAGAAACTGAGATCCAGCAAGGTTGAGGGATGCTCCCAAAGAAGTGATAGTGATGGGACAAAAACCAAGGTCTCCCGAATCCTGGTGTGTGCTCTGTGACGCAAAGGAAGTCAGGCTTTCCTCAGATGCTCAGCAAAGCCTTAAGGCTAAATGTGACGTACTCCTTTTATAGGTAGGAGTTTCCATTCCCATGAAAAAGGATAGTTCTCAGTCTCCAGACACTCCGCTGAGTGCTGAGAGAGGATTCTCCACCGCCAGGATAAAGGATGGATAAAGCAAGGAGAAACTGCTAAGCCACAAAGAGGCCCCATTATAAACCCAAGTTCCTGAAGTTAAATAAGCAAATAAATGATGGAAGTTAAATAAACAAACAGCTCGTTTGGAGGGAAAACTGTGTCCAGGTTTAGACCTATTTTTTCTTAGTGTCTGTAACTCCTTGGAGGAAACCAAGTCCCCACATTTTACCAGTGCCTCAGCCTCCACCATGGTCCTCTCCTCTGAAAAAAGAAAGGATCCACTGGCAGTTAGGTTGAACCATGTGAATGACATTGTCAATAGTCAATCATTTCTGAACTCTATAGATGACAATTTCATTTGGTTAAAAATATTTGTGAATTAAGCTGTAAATGTTCATGTTTTAAAGTGGCACCTTTGCTTGATAGGGAATTTTCTTTCTTCTTCTTTTTTATATTATAAAAGTATGATAACACAGTTACAGGAATTTCCAGGAAACTGGATTATCTCTAAGGTTTCTTTTGTTTTTATCATTCTGTGTCACTATGGCCGGATTAAGCCCATTTTCTTTGATCAAAATACTAATTTCTGCATATTTTTATCTGAAGTTCTTATGGTTTATTGTTCATGCAGTATAACTATTTGCTTACAACTTTCAAAGCTCAAAGGAACATTTCCCATGAAAAACAGTTTGTTAGCAACTATCTTCTTTGTATGGGG